GCCAGGAGACCTGGCTCCTGGTCCTGGGTTGCTGTGTAACCCTGGGCAATCCCTGCCCCTCTCTGGGCCTGAGACTCTTCATCTGTGAAATGAGGGTTTGGGCATGGTGACCTCAGAGGAGGCCCCTCGCAGCTCTGACCTTCTGTTTCTGCTTCTGTTTCTGGGGCCGGCAGAAGGGGCACTGGCAGGCTCCCCTCTGCAGGGGATGCATGGCTGACAGCTCCCAGCAAGCCACCTCCGGGAGGGTGTGAAGGCCGGTAAACTGTCTTCGCTGCACACATAGTGTTCCCAGGCCTGCCAGCTTACCGTGCCCATATGGTGCCCCCTGCCAGCCGGACACCACCAGCTGCCCTTGGCCAGCCAGCCCTGGGTGACCGCTTGTCCTCCCCACTCCAGAATGCTCTCTCTCCTGTGCCAGGACCCAGCTTGGGGTGAGAGATCTGGGGGGCTCCGCCCTGCAGCCCCACCTACCCACAGCCCTTTGTGGGAGAAGGCAGCCTGGTGTGGTGGAAAGTGAAGAAGGGGAGAGCAGGGGGAAAGGAGGGGGCAGGACAGCAGCACCAACTGCACTCCAACTCCATTTGGACCCCTTGCTGGGCAATTGGGCTTCAGATATGAATCAGAAAAACGTACTGCCTTTGGAGGGCACGACGTCTAGGAGAGGTAAGAAGAATAGAATTGGGCAGCAGCAACACTTGGGACGCTGAAGGTTCAGGACTGTGGGAGCCCACAAGGAGAAACCTAATCCATGGGTGGTAGTCGGGGAGGACTTCCTGGAGGAGGCAACCTTAAAGGTGGGTTCCCAAGGACAGGTTCAGCCTTTCTTACTTCTGTTATAATATTTAATCCTTACAGGCAGTCCTGTAGAATAGTATTGTTGCCCCTTGTACACATGAGGTTCAGAAAGGTGAGTTCGGAACCATGTAAAGAAAGACAGTTGGGTCCCTAACCACTGACACTGTACTCTAGCCTATGGCCTAGGGGCTTGAGTCTGGGTGCAGCGTCTGACTCTCTGAGACCCCCAGTGAGTGCCTTCCTGCCCCACCCAGTGCTTTTATCTGGTCTATTGCCCGCTGCACTATCAATGTGAGCAGTGTTGCCGGGAGGAGCAAAGGACAGAATGGCTAAAAAAGCATTTAGTTTATAAACAGAGAGTAGAATGTCAGCAAGGCCTCTGTGTCTAGCTGGGGACAGCACAGCGCTGTCTTTCTCCCAGCACAGAGACAGGACTGCCAGAGTCTGGGCCCAGAGTAATTACAGAGGCTGAAGTTCCCCTTGCCTGAGGCAGCCCCGTCTAAAAGAAGCCAGTCAGGCTGTGGCTTGGAGAAATGTACTCTCCCTTTGACTCCTTTTGACACAGTCTGAAGGAAAGGCACAGGATCCTCTCAAATCCTGGAGTTAGGACACCTGTGCTTGGGGAATCCGGGGGTCCAGACTGCCCATGAAGGGCCTCCTAGGAAGCAGGGTGGGGTCTGTGTCAAGGTAGGGCAGGAGCTGGCCCTGGCAGGTTGGAAGGGTCACTAAAGACAGGACCGCATCTCATTTTACATAGAAACAACAAGACCCAAGGCCAGGCAGTGGCTCACGCCTGTAATCCCAGTGCTTTGGGAGGATCACTTCAGCCCAGGAGCTCGAGGTTACAGTGAGCTATGATTGTGCCACTGCACTCCGGCCTGCGTGAGAGTGAGACTCTGTCTCTTGAAAAAAAAAAGACTCAGAGGGGAAGGCCTTGCCTGAGGTCACACAGCAAGTAGAGGCTAAGTCCTCTTTCCAGGACACCTGAGAGCGTAACACCCAGGTCATACCATCTGAGGCCACTTGGGAGTGGGGCAGGCAGGGGGCAGCCTAAAGTGGCCAGCTGGCTGGCCAAGGGCAAACTTTTATACTTCTGCCCTGTTCCTAACAAATTTTCAGCCTCCATTCTCTCCTTCTAAGCCTCCCACTGCCTTCCCTGGGCACCCCGCTCCTCTTGTCCCAGAACAAGAATCCTCCCCGCTCAGGCCTCAGACTCCCCAAGTGTAGAACGGTCTCCAAGTGCCTTTCCTCTGTGCCGTCGGGAAATCCCGGGCCAGTGGCTTCCACAGGATCTACGGGGTAGGGACTGGGGAGAGGGAGGAAAACGGGGCTGCCCCGGGTTTTCAGCTCACAATCTTCGAGAGCGACCGGTGCCTTTGTCGGGGCAGCCTCGGGAGAGCAGCGCGCTTGAGCCCGGGGCAGGGGCGGGGCTGCGGTGTGGGCGGGGCCTCCCATATCGCCCCGCCCCTCGCCCCGCCCCGTCGGACGTAGCCGCGGAGCCCGCGCCGGGAGGGGAGGGGACGGGAGGGGAGGAGCGCGCCTCCAGCGCGCCGCCTGGCCGGGCGGAAAGTTTTTCCTGACGGAGTTTTGGCAGCGGCGGCGGCCGGAGCGGGCCATGGACGCGCTCAAGTCCGCGGGGCGGGCGCTGATCCGGAGCCCCAGCCTGGCCAAGCAGAGCTGGGGGGGCGGCGGCCGGCACCGCAGTGAGTGTGTGCGCGTCCGCGGGGCCGGGCCGGGGTCGGGCCGAGGCGCCCTGGGCCTCCCGCGGGCGCCCGGAGTTTGGCCAAGTTGGGGGGGAGGCTGGGCCTGACCCGCGCTCTTGGCACGGCGCGGCCGTTCCCGGCCCTGCGGGGTCGTGTGGGGTCAAGTTGTGCTCCCACTCCCGGGCCCGCTCAGCTGGGAGGGGGCAGAGCTGGGGGAGGAGACAGGTCGGGGCGCCCAGGTGTGGGTGGCAGTGAGCCGGAGGGGGGTTCGCGGGGGAGTTGCAGGTCTCGAGGAGAGGCCAGCGCGACCCCGCCACCTCCCCAGCCCTCCGCCGGGCAGCTGGGGGAGGCGGGCGCTCCGAGACAGTGCCAGCGGGTGGGGGAGTGGGCGCAGGGGCTGGGGAAGATGCCCAGGAGCAGCGGCGGGCACCCATCGCCCCTGTTCAGCCCATGAGGTCAACTTGTTTCTCCCGGGTGCCCAGAAACCCATTCAGGTGTGGGCCCGGGGTCGCAGGTACTTAAAGTTGGGAGCGAGGCCCGGCCTAGTGTCTCAGGAGATCCCAACACCTGGCGATCTAGACCCTTGTGCCCCTTTCTCTAGTCGGGTCCAGGTGGCTGACTGGCGTCCCAGCTATTTTTGAAACCTGTTTTCTCTCTCACCTTTCCCCTCGGGCTTCCAAAGTCCCTGAGCGCCCAGGGGAAGGGCAGACTCGCCGCCACCTCTCCCGGGGGCGTCTGGCAGGCTGGGTGGGGCCTCAACTGGCCCTCCTTTCCCTGTCTCAGGTTATGCTCAAGAGACCTGTCACCTGGCACCTTCCCCTAAGGCCTGACAAACCTAGCGCTGGTCCCTCCTTTTTGGAGAGGGTGAATGGAGTGGCTTGCCTGGGGTCACGCGGGCCATCCTGGCTGATTTGGAGCCAAAGCCCAGGTCTCCTGCACATTTCCACTCACCTCAACCACACACCTTTCCCTTACACCAGGAAACAACTGCCAGCAGTCTCCCCCCACCCTCATTCCCTCTTTGCCTTCCAGGGCACCACCAGGGGAGCCCGAGTTCCCTGGTCCCAGGAGTGCCAGCGTGTCTGGGCCTAGAGAGCCTGCCTTGCCCCTCCTCTGGCCCCACTCCCTGTTCCAGCTGTGGCTGCCTCTTAGCTGAGGCTGGCATTGGCATTGGGCACGTGGGCCAGTGCCTGCTGGTGGGGGCAGGGTCAGAGACCCGTTTGGGCTGGCCGGGCCAGAGATGTACCATCTATCACACTTATTGCCTCCCAAAATAGCGCCTTTAAAAATTTCTGAGATTCGATGAGGACTTAGAATGACATGTTCCAGTAGGACAACCCTGTGGTTTTTCTCCAGGGATGTGGGAGAAGGGGTGGTGGGCAGCCGCCAGGGAAGTGGTTGTGAAGAAAAGGGGGCTGGGCAAGGGAAGGGAGGAGGTAGCCACTTTGGGTGGTGGAAAAGAGCTTCTCTTGCCTTCTTCAGTCTTGGGCAAGTCACATGTCTTCTCTGGGATCCTCAGTTTCCTCATTTGCAAGAGGGGATAAAAGCCCTTACTTGACAGAGGTATTAAGAGTATTGATGATAATGCTCTCTCCTAGTTGGTGGTTTCCTTCTTCCCACTTTCCGGCCTATCCTGTGGACCTTCGACATGATTATCATGGTGGTGAAACAGGTTTGGGGGCTCAGAGCCTGTCTGCACCTTCAGAGGAAAGGAGAGGAGAGCCTCTCCCTTGCGCCCAGCCCTCTGTAAGGCCAGAGTGAGGTCCTGGAGCCTTCAGTGCCTCTGATGAGCTGGGTCACAGCCCCACCTGTCCCTTGTTGTTAAGTCTCACTTTCCTCATCTATAAATTACAAATAATGGTAGTACCTGCCTCACACTTTTTGTGGAGATTAAATGAAATTGCACCCTGCCTAGCATAGAACTAGAGTCCAATAAGTGGTAACTACTGCTTTTGTCACTCTTTTACAAAGTGTTTTAGCTTCCATTATCTCATTTGCTCTGTGAGGTGACAGAGCAGAGGATACTTACCATCAGACCCATTTTAGAAGAACTGAGGCCCAGGGAAGTGGAGTCACTGGCCCCAGACACAGAACTTCCCAAGGGTAGAGTTCCAAATTCCCCACCCAGGGGGCTAATCAGCAGGCCTCAGGCACTCTGGCCATGGCAGGCCCTGGGGGCAGGCCCCACCCCAGGGTGGATTGCAGGTTGAGCTGCAGCTTTCTTTCTGGTTTTTTTTTTTGAGACAGTCTCATTCTATTGCCTGGCTAGAGTGCCACGTCAGCCTAGCTCACAGCAACCTCAAACTCCTGGCCTCAAGCAGTCCTCCTGCCTCAGCCTCCTGAGTAGCTGGAACTATAGGCATGCGCCACCATGCCTGGCTAATTTTTTACTATATATTTTTAGTTGACCAATTAATTTCTTTCTATTTTTGATAGAGACAGGGTCTCGCTCTTGCTCAGGCTGGTTTCAAACTCTTGACCTTGAGCGATCCACCCACCTTAGCCTCCCAGAGTGCTAGGATTACAGGCAGCTTTCTAACATGCAGGTTAGAAAGGGAAGCTGTGGGGTATGTCAGAGTGACAGGTGCTGGGGCAACCTTGACCAGAGTTGTGACCCAGCCAGGTGTTGGGCCTAGTCCCTCTGGTTGAGTTTTGAGGCCAAGCTGAAGCCAGTGGAGTTAAGGTTAGACTTGACCCCTGTTGTCAACTGCGGCCTGGTCTTTAACCAGTGCCCCCCAGCCAAGGTCCTCAGCTGGGATCGGCATGAATATTGTTTTATTTGTGGAGAAACTGAAGCCCAGAGAAGGGGAGCAGCTTGCCTGAGGTCACACAGCAAAGCCAGCACCCAGGCTTCCTTACACTGAGCCTCAGGCCTCCTATCTCCCAATTGTCTTGACCTTGAAAGAGGACTCTCCCCTTCTCCCACATGTGGCTTTTTTCCCATCCCTTCAGGAACCATAAATATTTGATCTCAGTCCCTGCCCAGGGATTTTCCTGTCTTCCAGCTACCTGGAAGGGTTGCTCATCTTGGCCCCTCCGTGCTTTTTTTCCCAAAGGTACTAGGATCACTCTGACCCTCAGGCTCCTTTGTGAGTTGTGCAAACCTGTCAGAGAACCCAAAGAGAAGGGGTGAAGAAATATGAGGTGCAGCTTCTGGTAAAGGTGGTTCGTGGTGGTAGGCGAGGGAAGATCTATTCCTATTTGTAATATTTATAATGAAAGATACTATAAATAACCCCCAACAGTATTTATTGAGCACTGACCACGTGTCAGGCACAGATGGAGGCACTGGGGAACCTGTGGTGACCGAGTCTCTCCTCTGGTGGTTCTTCCCGTCTGGTGGAGGAGGTGGACAGAATGACAAGGACGCAGATAGGCAGTGTGCTTGTGGATAGTGTAATGCTATGAATAAAAATAAAGCGGGTGAGGAAGTGATGGGGACAGCCTTTTTAGATAGGGTGGTGTCTTTGTGTTCTTCTAGTGACAGGGATCTGAGTGCAAGTCATTTATTTGGGAGGAGATCGCAGGAAATACTTTGTTAGGACGTGTGAGGAGGGAAAGGACTCCCGAAAGTGGCCGTTATAAAGCACGTACCACTGTAGGCTGCTGCGGCTTAATCCCGTGCCGGGAACTCTGGGAGGCATTGTGGAATGTGCTCCTCAGAGGTGTCCCCCGCACCCTTGTGTGAGGACTGCTGGGACAGGAGATCTGAGTTCCCCAGTCAGCACGGGCCTGGGCATCTCCAGCAGGAAGGCCAGAGTGGAGGGTGCTGGCGTCAGGTGGCGTGCAGGGCAATGGTACACGCAGAGGGGACAAGGGTAGGGCACTGAGCATCTGGGAAGGCCTCTCTGAGAAGGTGACTTGGAACACTCAGGTCAATCCCAGGAGGGAGGAATCTGGGAAGAATGTTCTAGCCAGAGTGAGCAGCAAGTGCAGGCAGCGCTTACCTAGAGCCTGGGACTCTGCCTCTCACAGGTCTGGTGGCTCCAGGAGGGGCATGTGGCCTAAAGGAGTTAAAGGTCACTCACTGCCCACTGAGGGTCAGACACCCCTTTTTGAGCAGCCCAGCTCGGTTCTACTTGACCCCTGCCTTGCATTAGAAGGGGTGAGGGGGGCTGCACGAGGGGGGTGTAGGACTGGAGTCCCAGTGGTATCAATTATGGGCCATGGTTAGAGTCCTCTGAGCTTCTTCATCTGTGAAATGGGAGCGTTGATACATCCAGGACTTTTCTCATAAAGTATGTAAATGGCTGTGGACATGTTAAAGCTTTTTGCACTTGACCATTGGTAATGACAGCCGCTCACACCGAGGTGGTACTTGGTATACACCAGACAAGGTTATAAGCCCACCACAGGTGTGAACTCATTTCAGCCTCAGGACAACCCCATGGGGTCCCTATTTTAAAATGAGGCAACTGAGGCTTAAGAAGGTCTGTGAACCTCACAGCCTGGCTCCAGAGCCTGTAGCATATTTTTCTCTTACAGTGTAAGTGGGTACTTAGGATGTAGTAGCTGTTGTAATTATCATTTTAAAAATTATTTTCTTTGGATAGCAGTCTCAATAGCCTTAACTCCTGAAATTTGCGTAGCACTTTTCACATCTGGAAGCTTTTTCTGAGTTGCTCCTGAGGGAGGGTCTGGACCCATTTGTCAGGTAAAGAGAGTCTGCAACCCAGAGGAGCAGCCACACTCTAGATCAGGGTAGAGCCTGGCCCCTTCTGAGATGTCGTTACTCTGTGGCTTCTGAGGCCATCTCCCCGCCAGGCCGGAGGCCAGGGTCCTGGTCAGAGGGTTCCGCCGCCCGTGGGTTTGGCTGTGGCTCTGATGTTCCAGACACCGGCCAGGCTGGGTCTCCCAGGACAGCAGAAGGGGCACAGGGGCACCCTGCCCAGCTCTGACTCCTGGGTAGGGGGCCTTAACGAGGAAAGAGCACAAGTTCACAGCTGTACGTTAGCTGGGCATATGGTCTGTCCTCAGCTAACTCTGGCACCAGGTCATCTGTAAAATTGCAACGTTAAAATAGCACAGTCATTACCCACCACAGGGCCAAAAATAACCAGGACCAGAACAGGGCTGTGGACTCAGGCTTGTATTTGCCCGAGGCCTCTGGGAGCTCCTGCTGAAGCCTTGGGCTCCTCCTGGGAGGAAGCACGCGGCCTCCAGCCTTGGGGCTGGTGCACAGCCCTGCTGCCTGGCTGCTGAGGAGGCTGGGACGAGCCAGGCGGGCGTGGTGGTAAGCTGCATGTCTGCGTTGAGAGCTCCCAGGTGCTGGTTTCTGTGGGGAGGGTGTGGGCACAAGAGACCTTACACCTCGGTGAAGAGAGGAGTCACATGCACGGAAGTACAGGAGAGGAGGCAGTGATCTCTAGAGGAAAAGAAGCATCTCAGCTGGGCCTGGGAAGGTGGGGTGAGAGGAATGGGGGGACGAGGGAGCAACAGGACAATACTGACAGCTGCATTGGGCAGGAGTGCATAGCAACAGGACGAGACCGACAGCTACGTTGGGCAGGAGTGCATAGCAGGTCCTGGGAGGCAAACGTGAATGGCATGTCCTTCCTTTGACTCGTGTGTAGGCAGCTGCTTGGTGGAGGGTGGCGTGTCCGCGGGAGGAAGAGGAGGCACAAGCAACCTACTGACAAGAGGGATGAGGCCCCATCAGAAAGCGTACTGAGCACCTGCCATGGGCCTGGCCCTCTGCTAAGTGCATTTTATTATCTCATTTTATCATCTTATCAAAGGGTCACTACAGCATTGTGAGGCAGGGACTGTTGTTTCCCAGAAAACTAAGGCTCAGGGTAGGTAACTAACTCAGTCAAGATCACTCAGCATGGTGGCTCAGGCCTAAAATCCTAGCATTCTGGGAGGCCGAGGTGGGTGGATCATTTGAGCTCAGGAGTTCGAGACCAGCCTGAGCAAGAGTGAGACCCCATCTCTACTAAAAAAATAGAAATTAGCTGGCCAACTAAAAATATATAATCAGCCTAGCTCACAGCAACCTCATGGGCATAGTAGTGCATGCCTGTAGTCCCAGCTACTCAGGAGGCTGAAGCAGGAGGATCACTTGAGCCCAGGAGTTTGAGGTTGCTGTGAGCTAGGCTGATGCCACAGCACTCTAGCCTGGGTAACAGAGTGAGAATCTGTCTCAAAAAAAAAAAAAAGATCCCTCAGACATGAAACACCAGAACTGGTATTCTAGGATTAGGGCCCTTACTATTAACCACTAAGCTATGTTGCCTTAAAGAAGGCTTCCTGGAAGAGGCTGCATGTGTGAATGTATTGATCAAGCAAAAGCAACAAGGGCATTTTGGATAAAGGGAACTACTTGAACAAAGGCACAGAAGTTGGAAAGTGAATGTTACTTTATAAGGAAGAAGCTCTGCATGGTTGGAACTTCTGGGGTATGTGTATATGGGGATATTGTGGGGAGGAGACGGGGGGAACTTAAAATTCCCCCAACAGTCATGGTGGGGATTGCCTGTGGTGGACTGGGAGCTGCAGTTGAGGGTCCCTTGGACCTGCTTTGTGGCCCTGTACCGGGCCCATCTCTATCTAGGCCTCAGTTGCATCATCTGTAAGTGAGAGATTTGGGCAGAGGGTCTCTGAGGCTGATGATTGGCAACGAGTCTATAAGGACGTGGTAGGGTAGGGAAGGGTCAGGCTAGGGAAGGAAGAATGCAGAAAAATGCCAAACATTTCAGAGGTCAAAGAGGACCAGGGAATGTTTTGACAGCAAAGAGATCACTAGTGACCTTGGCAGGGTTTGGCCCTTTGGAATGGAGGGAGCGGAAGTGGCTTTGGAAAGGGGCCAGGAAAAGGCTGAGCAGGAGGAAATGGGAGAGTGGGGACATGAAAATGGGGGGGGTGGAGAAGAATGCTGGAGGGCAGGAATAGTTGATGAGATGAACAAGGCCGCCCTTGATTGATTGGCATTGCCTGCCTGGGGCCTTGTGCTGAGAAACAATCTACAGATGATTAACAATGTCTGCCAAGGACATAGGTGGTAGGCACAAGTATTTTTTGGCCATCCTTGATAGGTCTAGGTTGAAAGTTGTGGTCTGGGTATCTTGGCCTATAGAAGGGAAGCCTCTGGTGTTAGGAATACCTAATCCCAGGTGGGAGGAAATACCTCCAGCTCCAAAAACCTCTCCCTGACCTTTAGCTAGACTTAAGGCAGTTGCCTCCTGATGAGGTAGTATGCTCTAATGGTCTGGAGTGGGGGCTTTAGAGTCAGTCCTTTGAACCTCAGTGTCCTCATCTGTAAATTGGAAATGAAAGAATGACTGCTTTCAAGGTAGCTGTGAGTGTCAGAGGTAATGGTGATAGCTACAGCTTTGTTATTATTGCATCTTCATTATGTGAGAGCTCTGTTAGCCTTTTTTTGAGACAGGGTCTTGCTCTGTTGCCTAGGCTACAGTGCAGTGGTATCACCATAGCTCACTGCAATCTCAAACTCCTTGACTCAAGGTCTCCTCCTTCTCAGACTCCTGAGTAGCTAGGACTGCCGGTGCATGCTACCACACCAGGGTAATTTTTCTTAGTCTTTGTAGAGATGGGGTCTTACTATGTTGCTCAGGCTGGTCTCGAACTCCTGGCCTTAAGCGATCCTCCTGCTTCGGCCTCCCAAAGTGCTAGGATTACAGGTGTGAGCCACTGCACCCAGCCTGTTACTCTTGGTTTCTTTGAGAGCAGGGCATATGTCTGAGGTGCTCCAGGGCCCCCAGCCCCCAGCCCATGATCAGGGACAACTCAAGGACTTTCTGAATCTTTTTGGAGGGTCAAATGGAATAGGCTGGCCGATGGTCAAAGCCACTGATAAGAACAGTACTTCCCCTCATGACCCTCTGTCTCCTTGGGGCCCTCTCCTACGTGGGTGGGCCAGGTGGGGACCTCTTTCCAGCTCTCCCTCTGATCTGTTTCCCCACCCAGTGACCCAGGCTCATCCCCTCATTCCCCAACCTTCCTGACGTTTGTGGTCAGTTTTTAGAGAACCCCTCCCATGCGCTCTGCTCTGTGTCATCACTGCAGCCCAGAGAGACAGGTATGGTTAGTCTCAGAAGAGAGGTGACTTCCTTGAGACCATGCAGGGCATGGGAAGCAGAGCTGGGATTCGAACCCAGGTTTGCCAGATTGGTGTGATGAGATTTGAGAAGTAACCTCCTCCTCTCCCCACTGACCCTCATCCCACCCCACCCTCCTTGGGCCACTGTCTCTTGGCTGGTCCCCTGTCTCCACCCACTGGTCTCTATGGATGCACACACACAGGGAAATGGTGCAGGGCAGGGAACCACCCAGGTTTGAATTCTGAACTTTACTCATTGCGTGTGGCCTTTGTCTCATGACTTCAACTCTTCGAACCTCAGTTTCCTAATCTGTGTAATGGGGATAATAACCACCTCTCAGGATTACACGAAAGATTCAATAGAAAATGGTATGATTTGCCTCAGCAAGTGTTAGCGTTGAATTAAGAGTTTGAGCTCTGACCTTGAAGGTGTGGCTCGAGTCTTGGCTCCTGCAGGTACTGGCTCTGTGGAGTTGGGTGTGTGATTCAGCCTCCCTGGGCCTCAGTGTTGTCAGTGGGTATGCTACAAGTGTCTACCTCATAGGTTCTCGTGAGGATTAATGAGAACATTCTACATAGAGCTTCTTACCATGGTGCTTGGTATGCAGTGGAAAATGTTAGCCCTTTATTAAAAGCAAAAATAATGGGGGGGACCCCAGTGCCCGTTGCTGGATTTTCCTAGGAAATGGGGGCAGGTGAGAGCTGTGGCTGGTGGTGGGTACTGCCCCGCAGGATCTGAGGGCCTGTCTTGTCGTGTCCTTCCCCAGAGCTGCCTGAGAACTGGACGGACACTCGGGAGACTCTGCTTGAGGGGATGCTCTTCACCCTCAAGTACCTGGGCATGACGCTGGTGGAGCAGCCCAAGGGCGAGGAGCTGTCGGCCGCCGCTGTCAAGAGGATCGTGGCCACGGTGAGCACCCCAGCCTGTTACTCCGATTGGATGCACCTGAGCCTGGCCTGACCTTGAGTCTCTTCCCATCCAGTGGAGGGGAGCCATTGGACTCGCAGGGTTGTGGTCAGTGGCTTCCCTCCAGCCACTAGGGCTGTGGCCTCTTCCAGCCTCCCCTCCCCTAGCTCAGGATCCTGGATGGTGACTTATCAGTGCTAAGGGAGGGTGGGAAAGTAGCTGTCACCCAACCACTTGCCCAGTGTCCTGAGAGATGGCACAGCCCTCCAGAGACCAGATTGCCTCCTCCGAGCTCCAGGTGTGTGTTGGCCTTTTAAATTCACTTCCCTTGGTGGCCTTGGACCCCTCAGCTCAGGCCCTGGCAGTGGATGGAACAAAGTCCCTGGGAGTCATCTACTTGGGCTGTGATAGGCCACTCAGTGCTTAGAGTCTCAGGTCCCTCTTGGCTGTGTGTCCTTGGGCAAGTCTCTTAGCCTCTCTGAGTCCATCTCCTGTGGAGAAGGCAGATGAGAGTTCGTCCTCCTGCCTGTGAGTGTGACTTGAAGTCCAGTGCTTGACAGATAGCAGGTGTTTTTATTACAAGAGGGTGCCAGCCAGTCACCTGCACCTGAGACCAAGGAGCAGATGGGTGTAGCCCATGATGGAGGGGCCCAATTGAGGCAGGCAGGCTCCTCTAACCCATGTCTGCCCCCAAGGCTAAGGCCAGCGGGAAGAAGCTGCAGAAGGTGACTCTCAAGGTGTCGCCGCGGGGAATTATCCTGACTGACCACCTCACCAACCAGCTCATTGAGAACGTGTCCATTTACAGGTACACTCAGTGTGGGGGGAGGCCCACATCCGCTCTGCCACTTGGGGCAGTGGGTGGAGTGTCCTGTCTGAATCCACTTCCTACCTGGGTGACCTGGAGCTGCAGTTTCCTCATCTGTGAAACGGGGCTGGGAGCAGACCCTGACTCACAGTGCTGTTGTGCAGCGCTGAGCGCAGAGCACGCGGCTCACAACGAGCACTTGTTAAGTGGCAGTTGCTGCTGTTATCACCAGGTGTAGAAGACAGCTGAACACTCGGCTGCTGAGTCAGGCCGGGAGCAGAGGGCTGCAGCTGCGGAGTCACTGCCTTTTCCTTCCACCATGAACGCAGCTGCTCAGCTCTGGACTTCCGGCCAGGCATCCCAGGGGGACAGGGCCCAGCCCTTGCAGCCTCAGGCTAGCCCACCTCTCTCTTGCCTGGTCAGGTGTAGGATTTCAGAACTGAAAGAGACAGCCCAGGTCCATTTTACAGATGGAGAAGCTGAGGCCCAGAGAGGGAATTGCCTAAGGTGCATGGGGAGGTACTGGCTGAACTGGGACCAGGACACCCAGGCCAGAGCTCTGTCCAGCAGGCCCCCATCTGCCAGGCATCCCTCCACCCTCTTGCTTTGTCTCCAGGCAGCACAAGCCAGGAGTAGGGGTGGGTAGATGTATATCGTGGGTGGTGGTTTCGGAGTTTTTGGCTGATATCTTCTCTTTGTTTTGAGACAGAGTCTCAATGTATTGCCCAGGCTAGAGTGCCATGGTGTCAGCCTAGCTCACAGCAATCTCAAACTCCTGGGCTCAAGCAATCCTTCTGCCTCAGCCTCCCGAGTAGCTGGGACTATAGGCATGCGCCACCATGCCCGGCTAATTTTTTCTATATATTTTAGTTGGCCAATTAATTGTCTTTTCTATTTTTAGTAGAGACGGGGTCTTGCTCAGGCTAGTTTCGAACTCCTGACCTTGAGCGATCCTCCCACCTTGGCCTCCCAGAGTGCTAGGATTATAGGCATGAGCCACTGCACCCAGTCTGGCTGATATGTTCTTACCTTTCTGAGTCTACCTGCCTTCGTTTAGTCAATGTTTTCTGAGTACCTACTGTGCTGAGGTCTGTGCCAGATGTGCCCTCAAGGAGCTTCCAGCCTAGCAGGGAATGGAGGGGAGGAAATAGCAGAAACAGTATAGTGTTGCCCAAGAGGGCAGAGGAGGGGTCTGCCTGGGGAAATCTGGGAGGGCTTACCAGGGGAGGTGGTACCTTGCTGGGGCTTGAAGAATAGCACGATCTAGTTCCTATTAATAGATACGAAGGACCCAGGGGCATTTAGAGCAGCAGACTGGGCCTCCTGGGTTGGAGAAGAGGCAGCCAGGGACCTGGTGCCCCCCCAACCCCCCGCCCAGCTGGGGGTTTAAGTGTTGTTGAGGCCTGTGATTGAAACTGGGGCTGCACAGGTGAGAGGGTGAGTCTACTGGGCACCTGTCGCAGCTCTGGGCTGTCAGCTCCTCCTGACTGAGCTTCTGAGGATGGCTGGAGGCAACAGGTAGGGATCAGGCAGTGAGGGAGGGTGGGACAGCTGAGGGCTGGGGCATGGAGGTCGTGGGTGGCGATTGGGGGCAGGGAGGGTTCCATGCATGGAGCTGCTGTGTCTTCCCTCCCAGGCCCACTGGGGCTCCTCGTTGGGTCCCCTCGTACTCCCCACCCCTACTCCCAGCTCCTCCACCCCTGGCCATGGCTGCAGGAGACTTGCTAATGGTCCCAGTCACCCTGAGAGAGAGAGGCCTGAATCTCATCTGACCTCTGGGAAGTGGCGTGAATTGGAGGGTGGGCGGAACGGGGAAGCTAGGTGAAGGGCATGGGGACAAGGCAGTATCCTGCCTCCCCTCCCGCACAAAGCGTTAAGAGGTGGCACGGCATTGATGGCCTCTGGAGTCTCACAGGTGAGTTCAGTTCTTACCTTTGCTACTAGCTGTGTGGTCTCAGGCCTTTAGCCTCAGTTTTCTCATCTACAAAATGGGGATAAAATAGAACCCATCTTAGGGGCAACTCTGAGAATTCAACGGGGCAATATCTAGAAAGCTCTTGGCACATTGCTTGGTATGCGATAAGGGTTCAGCAATTACTATTCTAGGGTGTGGCTCAGTGTGGAATGGGAGGGAGAGAGGGAGAAGTGTCCCTCCTCCAGTCTGTACCCCCAGTCCTTCCTGCCTGGCCTGGGTCCCTCCCTGATAGATGGCTCAGGGTACCAGGCCTGGTGGCCAAGGCAGGGTCTCCCAAGTCTTGCCCTGGTGGAGTGCGGTTAGCAGGCTCTCCGGAACTCAAGGAAGATGCCCTAGAGAGCATCCCAGGTGGGTCAGGAGCCCGTGCCAGGTCTGTGACACTTCCCACTTGCCTTTCAGGATCTCCTACTGCACAGCAGACAAGATGCATGACAAGGTGTTTGCGTACATCGCCCAGAGCCAGCACAACGAGAACCTCGAGTGCCACGCCTTCCTCTGCACCAAGCGGAAAATGGTCAGTAGGAAGGGCTGGGTTGGGGCAGGCCTTATCTTGGCAGCCCTGCTCTTGGGGGTCTGCCTGGTGCGGGAAGCAGGACCCAAAAGTGACAGTCACCTATAAAAAAAAGGTGAAATTCCTGGGAATCCCAAGTGGGTGCTGAGAGCTGAGGATACCTAATAGGGCTGCAGTCAGGCAGGTAGGTGACCCATGGGTCAGCCTGGCTGTGGGCAGTGACTAGCTCATGTCCCAAGCAAGTGCCTGGTCCCTTCCTCTCTGTAACGCAATTTGTTGGGTTTGAGATTATCTTGGATCTCCTGTCATTAGTGTGGTCTGTGGGCTGCAGGGCCTTTTAGGGATTAGTCCTCAGACATGGCCATGGTGGGGGTGGGGGTGGAGAGGCCGGGGTGGAAGGCAGAGGCAAGAGCTCTCAGGGGACCCGGCTTGCTGTGGGCAGAGTTGAGAAGGAAATGGCTGTTTTTCGGTACCTCCTATGTGCCCATTCCAGTGCTAGGCTTTGAGGTACTTTCTCATTTAATCCTCACAACAACTCTGTGAGCTGGAAACTGTTACTATTTCCTTTGGTTTTTTCTTTTTCAATTTTAATGAGGAAACAGACTCCCAGAGGCCAGCTGTCTCGCTGGAGATGACACAGCAGCCAGGGGCAGAGTGAAGGTTTGAGCCAATGTTCCTTCCCCTCCATGTGTGACTGAGGAGCCGAGAGCTCCTGTCCCATTTCCAGGCCACCCCTAGACCACATCTACCTGGGGTGAGTGGGAACCTTAGTGGTCACTGGACATTTGGTTTGAGTTTTGGAGCCAAGAGCTAGAGCAGGTCAACCTTTGGCATTGCAGCTTTGTTTCTGATGCCCCAGGATCTGAGTGTCCTCCCTATAAGGTTGTTCCTGACACCTATTGATTTGGTATTGGCATCTGTTAACCTCTGTTGACAGTACAGAGCCCTGTCCCCATGTCCTAGGGCCCTTGGAGCCAAGGAGACATGACCTTCTCCCTCCCTCATCATCAAAGGGCACATCAAGGGCATCATAGTCTTTGGCCCCCAGGCTTCCTGCTGCCCAAATAGAGCACATGTTAGGTATTGTATATGTGTCCTATTGCTGTTGTAAAACTGACCACAAGTTTATTCCCTTATGGTATTTTAGGTTGGGAGTCTAAAATAGGCCAGCAGGGTTGTGTTTTTCTGGAGGCTCTGGGGAGGATCCATTTCTGCCTTCTAGAGCTCACTTGCATTCCTTGGTTTGTGGGCACATCCTCCGTCTTCAGTGCCAGCACTGTAGCATCTCCCAGGCTCCCTCTCCCTTCTGTCACATCACTATTTCTGACTCTCCTGCTCGCTGTCAAGTCCCCTCATGATCACACTTGGATTCACTGGGTAATCCAGGATAATTCCAGATCCTTCGCTTAATTGCACCTACAAAGCCCTTTGCCTTGTAAGGCAGCGTTCACTGGTCTCAGGGATTGGGATGTGGACCTCCTAGGGGGCGTGATTCAGCCCCACACAGGTATCACAGGAGGGGCAGTGCAGGCGGAGACAAACTGATGTTCTGATCCTGGCTGAGGAGCTCTGTGACCTGGGCTAAAACCCACCCTTCTCTGGGCTGCTTGCCTGTTAGCAGGAGGAAGAGGTCACCTTCGTGACCTCCAGGGTTGTTCTGAAAGGCCCCAGTTTCTTTTGTATACCTTGTTTCTTTTCTGCAGACTCAGTGTCGCCGGCCGCTCACCCGTGATGCCCCAGGGCCCTGAGCTGCTGTGGCATCTCCCGTGACAGCCTTGTTCCCACAGACAGTGACTCCAGGCTTTGTCCTTTATTAGGCCTCACAGACTTAGAAATACAAGCTCATTGTGTCTGCATTGTTCATCTCTTCCTCCCCGCTGACCGGTGCAAGCGCCGGGCAGGGACAGCTGGCCCACAGCCATTGCTGCAGTGTGGGCCCTCGGTGGGAGGGGAGTTCCAAGAGACAGCGGCTCCCTCTCGGGTAGGGAGCTTGGGAGCAAGAGAAAGAGGATGCTGGCTCAGGGTTCCAAGGCAGGCCTGACCCGGGGCCATAGGACTTTAAACAGGAGGACATCAGTCTGCCCCCAGGCCAAGAGGCTAGTTGCCAAAGGAAACAGAGCCGGGCCACTGCTTGGCCCTGACAGCAGAGCCCTGATCAGGCAGCGGGAAGGGCTCCTACTAGATTCCCAAACTCTTCGTTATCCTTCTCTTCCACCCTTTGCCGTATGGGCTCCCCCCTTGAGGCGGCCGTGGGGAGCCCTCTCCAAGAGACAGCCCAGCATGGTATGAATACATCTCCTGGTGCTCCATGGCCTTACTTAGCTCAGCCCAAGCTGGCAGTGTGTTGATGGCCTCGTGGCCTGGCTGTGTTTGGAAATCCTAGATTCTCGTGGCTTATTGGATGTATTCTCGGGGGAGGCAGAAGATGAAATGGGTGCCTAGGACTCTGCACCTGCTGGCAGCTACCTCCACAGAGGTTTGGTGCTGCCTAGCCTGGGCCAAGCCCTGTGTTGAGCCCTGGGGGCCAAGGGGATTGGCTGTGGGGATGCACACAAGTCAGCAGAGAAGAGTCCTGCTTCAGTAACGGGAACACAGCGGCTTGGTTCTAGCGGGGAGGCTAGTAGATCTCACTAGAGGTCAGCAAGACTTCCGGAGACAGAGACATCTCGAGTGGGTCTTCGAAGGCTGAGTCGTGAGTAGGAGTTTGCCAGACTGAGAGTTTGCCAGGTGAGAGCCGAGTGCATGCCAGCACGGGCACAGAGGGACAAAATCAAATGCTACCACTGGGGCTTGGGAACTCAGATATCACTGGCGTGGGGGGTGGGTGTTGAGGCAGAGTCAGCCTGCAGGGGCCTTGAATTGGGATGTTTAATGGCCAGGGGCCCAGAGCCACCATGTCCCCACTCTTTCTTGCTGGGCCACCTAGGTGAACAAGAAGCCTATGACTCACCCAGGGTTGGGGGAGCAGGGGCTCCTTTCTGGGTCACCCACCAGTTCAGCTCAACCCTGGGGCAGTGTACCACCCAGTCCTCCCTTCCCTGGTCCTGTGGGCACGGCCAGAATAAGGTTCTCTACAGATAAACATTTCCATCTGCCCAACCAGGAGGCCTCTGGGCTCTGAAGTGAAGGTGAGAGCCCAGGCTTGCAGTGCAGGTGCTGGGCCTGGACTGACTGTGGCAAAGTGACACTCCCAGGTCTTCCTAGAGCAGAGTGAGCCAGGCTATTGCTGTTCGCATTCCTGGAGTAATCCTTGTATAAGGATTTATACTTCTAGGGCAGCGGGGCTGCCAGGAGGCACGTGGCCTGGCTGGATCTGAGTTCCTGGCCCCCTTATAACAGCCTGGTTACAAGGAACAAGACAGGGCACACGAAAGACTGGGTGAGGTAGAACCTGGTCAGGGTAGTAAGATAGACCCAGAGGAGAAGTGGGAGGCTGGGGAGTTGAGGAAGGAGGCCCGAGCAGTCCCTCTGTGTAGTGCTGGTGCCAGTCCCTGAAGCCGCCCCAGGAAGCAGGGCCCACCCCCTGCGAGGCTCTGCCAGCCTGGGCCTGCACACATCGGCATCTTGGATTCTGTTTAGTTTAACTTACAGCCTGGGACTTTAGGGCAAAAGGGTGGGAATGTATGCAAATGAATAAGCAGATTTATGCAAAAACAGCATAAGCTTATGTCCCCTGATTTCCTACAGGCACAAATAATGGTGTTCCCATATCCCTGCCATATTGGGTGACCAGCCCTTTCTTTGGTATATAGTGATCTGACTCGGCTGGTAATTAGCCCATATTTTTAGTTCACGGGCAATTCTCAATGGTAACTGGTCTATTAAACTTGATTCAGACGTGACAGCTTAAATTGTAAACAGCTGTGAAGAGTTTCATACTTAATTACCATATTTAAGTTTTGCCATAAAGTGCCTGTACTTCCATCAAAAATGTAAATGACAGAGACATTCAAATGAGATTTTATACTTCGTGAAGTTTAATTGGCATAGATCCGTCAGCTTGTTTAGGAATTTTAAATATTTTTTAAAAAGAGTTTTAAAGGCAGTGGCCACGGATTCATTTCTCAATTAAATTGAGTTGTCTGGTGGAGGGAAGGGAGTGGGGCTGAGCCTGGTTAGGTCTGAACTTGTCGTGCACTTGAAAGAGGCCGATGCTTTCTTCTGTGGGGCCAGGGCTTTCAAAGGAAGCTAGGTATTATTTCCGGAGACAGCTACGGAGAGGCTGAGCTCATTAACCCTGAACTTGATCACAGAGAGGAGATGTGGAGATGAATGTCGGCCGGGGATGGGTCCTGTCCCTTCGACAGGTGCACTTCCCCCAGCATGTGAAGTGCCACCTCTTGGCACTTTGTGGCACCTTGTGCCACCTCTGGGAGGCTCTGGCCTGCTGTGGGAGGCAGCGGTGTTCAGACTGATTCTTGCTTTTTTGGGGGACACAAGCATGTGAGCTAGTGATGCTTTCATATGTGTGATGCCAGAGGGAGGTGGGTAGGGCTGGAGGATCCCAGGGCTGGTGACAGGACAGAGGTGGTGACATCTGAGTTGGGATTGAAGGGGTGGATGGGAGGTTCCCAGGGGTGAAAGGCTAAGGTGTGGCCATTCCTTACAGGTGGGTTATGGCACTGAATGGTTTTGGTCCCCAGGCACTCATTGACATCTTGCTCCTGCCAGGAAATTGATAAGCCTCCTACTCCCATTTTGGGATCCAGTTATAAACCCCTGTAACCACCATAGTTCTAACCAGAGCCTACCCTTCACCTCTCTGGCCGTGGCTCATTCAGGCAGTGACTGGGCCCTTCCAACTTGGCTTTTCTGTTCTCCGATTCCAAGGGCTAAATTAGTGTATGAAGTCCTCAGGTAATTAGGGAGGGCTTCTTGGAGGAAATAAACCTCATCTTTCATTGAATTTAGAGACGCCCAAAGGGGAAGGGAAAAAAGTGAAGGTGAATAGCCATTAAAAGGTGGGGCCCTAGAGCGAGAGTGAGAACTTTGGCAGGCTGAAGGAAGTAGTGAAGAGAGGGCCCCTGCCTCTGTGAGGATGTGGTCTCATCACAGCCCTGGCTGCTTTGAGGACCTAGAAGGGCCAGGGCCCTGCCTTTGCTCAGCGGGCATTCCAGGGCCTGGGATGGAGCCCAAAGAAGCTGCAGGGAGGGAGCCAGGGGATCCTGGCCTGGGATCCCCAGCCCTCCAGTTGAGACTTGCTCTGCCCTGGCTGACACTGCACCCCTCCCCACCCCCACTTCCTGTTTTCAGGCGCAGGCTGTCACCCTCACCGTAGCCCAGGCCTTCAAAGTCGCTTTTGAGTTTTGGCAGGTGTCCAAGGAAGGTGAGTCTTTTTCATCGACATTGGGGGGGGAGGGGGCAGATATAGGCCTGGAGTCAGTCCTGGACCAACTCCCGGCTTAATCACCTACTTGGTTTGTGACTTTGAACTGATTGCTTCACCTCTCTGAGTCTCAGTTTTCCCATCTGAAAAATGGGAACAGCCATTTTCCTCCCCCACGGTGCTTGTGAGGATTAAATGACATCTGCAGAGTTTCTTTCCTCCTTGCTGGAGACCTGAAACTACCACCTGAGATGGCCGCAGCCTGCCCAGTGATTTTGGGGACAGAGGCTGGGGTCTGAGGCTCCAACGTGCTGTGCCTTGGTCTCACAGAGAAAGAGAAGAGGGAGAAAGCCAGCCAAGAGGGAGGGGATGTCCCAGGGGCCCGCCGCGACAGCACCCCCTCGTTGAAGAGCCGTGAGTCTTGGGCAAGGGTTGGGGCTGGGTTTAGATGCATGACATTGGGTCTGCCTTTCGCCCAGGGGGCCCCACTCCTTCCTGGGCTGGCAAAGACTCTTGTTTTTTTGTTTTTGTTTGGTTAAATAAATAATATTCATTCTAGATAAATTAGAAAGTGTAGATAAAGGGGAAAAATTATTTGTTTTGGTGCATATTCTTCCAGATATGTCCCTATGCAAATATATAAATATATGTGTACATCCCTATATACATGAAATCCTGTTGTGCGTTCTATTTAAAAACTTAACAAATACTGTGAATATAAAAATTGCAGTCTAAACCACCAGTGGGAGACAGGTTCTCACCCTGTGTGTGGCTGTCCAGCTGCAGGGAGGCCAGTGCCAGGCTAGGACCCTGCGTGGTCTGGGTGATGGCCGTGTCCGAGGAGGGAGTCAGGACCAGGACAGCCTAGGAGGCTCCAGGATGGGGCCAGGAAGGAGGAAGAGGCTCATCTCCCACTGACTCACCTACCTGATCCCCTCGTAGTGGTTGCCACTGGGAACCTGCTGGACTTGGAAGAGACGGCCAAGGCCCCCCTGTCCACGGTCAGCGCTAACACCACTAACACGGACGAGGTAGTGCGGCCTCAAGCCTTGAGCAACAGCAGTGTTGTCTGGGTGAGTGGGCGTGTGGCCGGGGACCTATACAGGGATCTGGTGCTCCTTGACCTGATCTCTGGACAGGCCTGAGGCTGCTCCGGGGCCAGGCCCTGGCACCCCTGACCCATGGGCCTCTGGGAGGACCAGACCCAGCCCGGCAGTGCCCAGGCCCGGGATAGGGGATGAACAATGTCCCCTTTGAACCCGGGGCTGCATCCCCAACAGGCTTGACTCCCAGCACAGCTGTCTCCTCACAATGCCCAGGCTCTTGGCCTGAGCTTGCACAGCTCTGCCCACCGCAGGACCAGCCAAAGGCGCCCTTGTTCCTGGCGTGGCAGAGCTTGCCGCCGACACCCTCCCCCTCAGCCATCTGAATGAGGAGCCAGAAACTCGGGCAGTCATCAGCTTGGTTCCTGATTCGCTCTGTGACTAAGGGCAAGCCCCCTGACCCCTGTGTCTCAGCTTTTTCATCCCCTCAATGAGGGTGATGGCCTCTGCCTGCAGAATCTCTCAGAGGAACCTGAATATATTTTTTTAATTTTTAATTTGGAAATAATTTCAGACAATGTTACAAAAATAGTGCAAAGAATTCCTGTTCACCCTTCATCCAGATTCCCATCTTGCATAACCATGTTGCCGTGATTAAATCAGGAAATTAGCAGTGATACCACACTATTGTGTAATCCATAGAATTTATTTGCATTTCTCCACTTGTCCCTCCAATGTTCTTTTTCTGGCCCAGGATCCATTGCAAAATCGCATGTTAACTTGTCATATCTCTTTAATTTTTAAAAATCTGGAACATGGGGGGACTTGGAAAACTTGCAAGACCCTCTGGCTGTTGGGGGCTCCCCAGGTGTCCCTCAAACCCATTCTGTGCAGTCTGGGAACCACCGTTGCCACCTGCCCATCCTCACGGGAGGCCCGTCGTTTTTCCACTGAGGCTGTGGGATTCCTGCCATTGGTTATCCTGCATGGCTTTTGGAAGTGGATGAAAGCAAGAAAACCTCTTTCTCCACCCTCTTCCTTTTGCAATTTGAAAACCATAGAAATCGTCTGGTCCAGCCCCCTCATTTTATGGGAGGAAAAGCTGAGTTTCAAAGAGGAGCAGTGACTTGCCCAAGGCCTCACGGGCCAGTAGTGGCAGAGCAGGGAATTGAACCCGCTCATGTCTCCAGACACCCTGGTACATGCCCATTCTCCTGCCCCATGTCCCCAGCTTTGGGTTCATGGGCTGAGATGCTGCTGGCAGCAGCCAGGCAGGAGGAGTGCCTGAGCCTGCCCCTCTAGGCACCTACCCTGTACTTGTGTCCTGAGTTTCGGTGGCTTACCCTGGGGGCAGCCCTGGCTGTGAGCCTGAGACCCCCACTCAGGGTTCACTTCTCCTGCTTTGTCTTCCCCAAGGAGCTTGATGACGGCCTAGATGAAGCATTCTCCAGGTAATGTTAGCTGGTAACCTCCTGCTGGGGGCGGGGGGCCTCGCATGCATGGCCCGGGCCTGCCTGCCCTTCCCTCCTGGTGGGGCCCTTTGCCATGTCTGAGAACAGGAGCCGCTCTGACCTCCTCCGGGGAAGAATCCCCATCCCTCTGCTCGAATACCTCCAGGGGCAGGAAGCTCACTCTCTGGGCTTGGGCAGGCCTGTTAAAGCTCTGACTGGTGAGTCACAACTATTCCTGGTGGCTGCTCTGCCACAGTCTGAGCTGAACGAAGCAGCTCAGCTCAAGCAGATTTCCTCTTCCTACACCTGCTGTAGCCTCCACAAGCGGGCTCTTCTGCAGGCTTTGTTCCTTCCAGAGTTGTGCGACTTTGAAAAGGGGCAGGGAGAAGGCAAAGCTTAATTAAGCCCGTGGAGTGTTACACAGAGGGGGATGTTGGGCAGGGTGAGAAGGTATTTTGGTAAAGCCTGAGGGTGGTGGCATTTCCCCATTTTCCCAGGTGCTGTCCCTGTAGCCATGGCTACCTTCAGCTTGGGGACATGCCACCGAGAAGGTTGCATGTGAGAGGCCTGGGCAGTTCAGGGTTCCATACATTCTCCCTCAGGGCCCTCCGCAGCCCCTCCAGCCCTCCCACTTCAGAGGCTTTTCTTGGGGGTCATCGTCAGGTGAGAACAGAGTCAGGGGCCTCACCATTTTGGCTCCCCCAACCCACCGGAGCCTAGTGGAAACCCCTTGGTCCTGCCTGGGGCGGGGGCAGTGTGTGTGGCCCCTCTGGACGCAGAGATGTTCTTTTCAGCACCTTCCCTGCTTCTCTGGCTGACTACAGCCCCCCTGATTGAGAGTAATCTTCCATTTGCTTTTTCCAGATTATTCAAGTATCATGTACCCTTTATGAACAATTTTGAAAATCAGCAAAGCATTAAGCAGAAAACAACACCATCCCACAATCCCACAGCCCAGACTTTTGGGCTTAATTCATGCTAATCTATACATATACATTATTTTGCATTGATCAGCATATCGTATTTGCATTTGGGGATCCTGATTTTTCATTTAACATCGATGTGTCAGAAGCTTCCCTCCAGGCTGTTAAAAGCTTCTCGTAAACACCTCTTTCATTTCTTTCATTGACTGCCTAACAATCACTTAAGGACAGGGGCTGTCATTTGCTTAACTCCACCCTTCTTTTGGACATTTAGGTTGTCTCCCTTTTCAAGTTTATTTTGTGGACAGCACAGTGTTGAACACAGTCACGCCAGAGCCTCCTCTTGGCTGGACGGCCCCCCTGACAGCTCGCCCGCCCACGCCCTCCGCCTCCACTGCCCTTTCTCCTTCCTGGGCACTTCCTGACAGCCGGGCGTGGTGTGGGTGCTCTGGCCTCTCTTGGGGTGGGAACGCCCGCTGCCTGCCTTACCCTTGTCTGAGCCATGTGACCCCACAGGGTAGGTGCTTTGTTGTGAGGCTCTGCCTCCCCTAGCACCTGGGACTTCCTGCTCGGGCCCATGTGCTGCCATTTCCCTCCATGCCCTCTCACGTCTGACCCTGGGGCTGGCCAGGCTGGACCAGCTCCGCAGGCCCCGCCAGCCCCGTGGCCAGTCTGGGCTCACACAGCTCTGCCTTCCAGGCTTGCCCAGTCTCGGACGAACCCTCAAGTCCTGGACACTGGGCTGACAGCGCAGGACATTCACTATGCCCAGTGCCTCTCGCCTGTTGACTGGGACAAGCCTGACAGCGGCCTGACAGAGCAGGATGACCTCTTCAGCTTCTGAGGACCCAGGGCCAGTAGGACACAGCCAGCCCTGACACGTGATGGACCAAAGCCACCTGCGGCGGGGGAGCCAGCTCCAGGACCCGCCAGCCACCTCTCCGGGCCCACGGCACCGTCAGCCTGCAGATCAAAGCTGCAGCCAGTCAAGCAGGGGAAAGAGATTTTTTTTAATCCTTGCTATTTCTCTAAGAACTGAAAGATGCCTTGAATATTTATTCAGTGACTTCTGGTGTATGCTCAGAAGCCCGTTTGCGTCAGGCACGGCGCCTGCTGGGTGCCGTGTGCAGGGCCGCGCCCGGCTCCTGCTCTCTCCTCCAGCAAGCTCTGCTCTGGCTGTGGGTGTCAGGACAGTGACCAAAGCATTTCTTGTCCCTTCTCTCCAAGGACTCAATTTCCATGGAGGCATCCTTGCTCCTTACCGAAAACAGTCAGATTCTGTCATCTTTTGAGCACAGGAGGACACCCTCACCCTCAGGAGGGGACTGTCCTCACGCTCAGCTTCCTCAGGGCCTGGCTTACGCCCCTGGACCCTGAGGCTGTCAGAGATGGGGGCAGCTCCTGACCAAAGACAGCACACAGCTTGGCACTTTAAAGCACACAGCAGGTGTGGCCCCGGGGGCTCCTCCATGGTGCTGCAGTGACAGAGCTTTCTTTCCGCCCTTCCTTCGCAAAGAAGGGCCCAGAGTCCCTGTGGATAGTCCCGTCAGTGCTGGGAACCAGTGTAACTGCCTGCCCCCGACTCCCAGAGTCTGACTGTGACCGTGGGGACCCTCTCTGTGGCTGCCCTCTGCCCAGTCCCCATCCCTACCTTCTCCCCTCCCGCGGGCTGTGCCCACTCTTTTGTTTGTCTGTGTGTCTGCGCATGAGTGTCTCTGAGCCCCAGCCCCCGTGCTTCTGGGATGGTGTGTGAAACCTAATACCTAGGTTCATTTAGAAATATTTTATGGCCATTTTACAGATGAGGAAACTGAGGCCATAAGCGTGGAAGGGGTAGAGTTGAGAGTAGAACCCAGATCTGATGCCAAAGCTGCTTTCTCTGCCTCCACCTCTCACAACTCACACCTCCTTTTTTTTCTAGCTTTGTTGTCCTCCCAGGAACCAAAAAACCCCAGCTATTTTCTGACCAAAATGTGTTTCATAACAAACCATCTGGTGCCTTTCCACACAGAACTGGCATAAGCCTCCGTGCCCTGCTAGCTGTCTTGCTGTTGATTTCCATAAAAATGCAAGTGTTTGAAGTCTGCTAATTCAGAGGGTGAAACAAAATCAAACTCTGCAAGCATCACGCTGTTCTCTTTCCTGACACTGTGACCCGGGTCGGGACACAGCAGCAGCAGTCTGTCTTTAGAATCTCTCTCCTCCCTCCTCTTACCCCGTGGGGCTCCCGGCGTCCTGAAGCCCAGCAAAGCTGTGAGCATCTTTTCCATCCTGAGGTGCCTCCCAGTGGCCTGGCTTGGCGGAGCAAGCTTCATGAGCCCGGGACACACACACAGCATTCTCAGACTCAGCTTACCTACTAAGCGTGTGAGTCGGAGCACTTTCGATGGGAGGGGCTGGGGGGCGGGGGAATTGTCAAGTCTTCATGAGAACGTGGGTAACTCCTTTCCCCAGCTCTGCAGCCCCCTCCGCCCCAGGCCTCCTTGGTTTCAGCCTCTGCATTTGCCATAAGGCACCAGGGCCAGGCATGACACAGGCCGTCCTTGGTCCCGGGGTGTCGGGGTCCCGAGAAGGACCACTGTGTTTGTGCGAAGGCCACACTGCAGCCTTTGTCTCGGTCTCTCGTCAGTGACCTGTGTGTGTTTCCTGTGCATCTGCAGATCGGTTTTATTGTGCTTTACTCTGTGATGCTGTAAAGAAAGTTCTAATGAAAATAACTAATAAATGTTCTTTTTGAATATAAGCAGCACTTAGATGGTGTGGCCTGGTGGCCAGGAGCATAGCATCCAGCGGCTCCTGCCCTTCAGCGGCGGGGGCAGCAGTGACCAGTCGGGCCGTGTGCCCAGACGCAGCACTGAGAGTGGGGGTGATGGCCTCGGGGTCCCCAGGTTGAAGGCCCAGTGGGCCCCCTTTTCCCCAGCAGATGGGGGGTGTGTGATGAGGTCATCTCCAGATGACTCATGGAGGCCACAGCAGGATCCAGTGTGTCCGTGCGGAAGAGAGCTGTGAGCGCCCCGCGGTGTATATGAGACCGTGTGTGAACTCACTTCCGTCAGGGTAGGGGTGTGCCCCATTTCCATCACATTCTCAAATATAGCCACGACGTTTTATTCATGTGAGCTGGGCCTCGGGCGCAGTACTGGGACGGCGTCCGGGGGGCCCAGGTGGACTCAGAATGTGCTTCACTGTGATGGGGGTGGTGGGAAGTGCTTTGGTGAACTGGAGACCCAAGATCTAGCTCTGGCTCTGCCACTTGGGGGGCTGCGACACTTGATCCGTCAGTCACCTCTTCCCTCGATCCTTGGTTCTCCCATCTGTGAAAAGGGTACGACAACCTCCCTGCTTTCTACCACTCTGGGTTTTGTGTGACCCAGAAGTGACGGTTATCACATTGTTGGTGGTATACTCAGGTGGCCCAGAGGTTATCTTACAGCAAAAGGCAGTTTGGACCAAATACATTTAAGAAAATCAAAGAAATTGACAATAATTAATAACAACTCATGTTAACTGAGTTCTTATTACATGCTAAGGGCCGTGCTGCACTCTGAACTGTCTCATCGCAGTGGCCGTGCTGTGCCGGGGTGGTGTTAGCTCCGGAGGCTGCCTAGGGCGCCAGGGCTGCAGGAAGGCACTTGTGCCCTAGTGCGTGGCCAGACTAGGCCCCTGCCTGCGTGACTCCGGCTCCCAGGAGCCCCTCCGTCCATGTCCGAGTTGCTGCCTGCGGATCTGTGTGGGGACCGTCTCAGAACGGCCTCGCTCTCCGGGTACTTCCAGCCCCTCAGCTGCGGCTTGCGGGGGTCTCCTTGGGCATTTGTCTCTTTATCCTTTTCAAACAGTGATGTTTTAAGTGTCCAGAACCCAGAGGCAGAGCCCTCCGCTGTCGGCCGTTGGGTGGACTCCCTGTGAATTCTGAGTGGATCACCGATGACTAAGAAATTCTCTCCTTTCTTCTTTCTCCCATAATCTGAAAAGACACCCAACAAGTTCATCTTTCGGTTTAAATTTGGCCAATGTCTTTAGTCTCCGGATGTTTCAAATTATGAATCCTGAACACCGCCGTCTGTTCTTTCATGCATAACGGATGAAGCCAGGAAGAACAAAGTCGCCTTTCAGATTTGATGTGACCTTCAGCTTCACTGGGTAGATGTTGGGGTCTTCTCTCCCAGGAGGAGATCCCAACCCAATCAAATCTCTCCAAGGGCTTCTGGACAAGCCTGGGTAGGGAATCTGGGCAGATTCTGGGTCTGGGGTGCCGGCTGGGGGCCTGGTCTTCCCCCAGTCTTCCTCCCTCCACTACTCCCCACGTACGGACTAGAGCAGGTGGCCGGTTTGTTTCTTAGAAACAAAGGCCCTGTTAGGTCCTTTACACCTAACATCAGTGATAGTAGTCCTCACGGCCACTACCTCTGTGAGGTAGTGGTCCTTGTCCCATTCTCCAGATAAGGCAACGCAGTGAGGGCAGGAAGATGAGCAAGTTGACCAAAGTCTCTCATCCAGTAAGAGGAGAACCTGGGATTCAAACCCCAGTCTGTCTGATTCCAGAGAGTGTTTCCACTGCACCATGCCCCTTCGTGTAGAGCAAAGGGCAAACCCCAGCTGAGCTGCCCATGCCCTTCTTTCCCTTGCTAGCAGCCCAGCTACCACAGAACATGCTGGCCAGCAGGTGCCTCCACAGGCGGAGTGGCAGGCAGGGGCTGACGACAGACTGGCCAGAGCAGATCCCACCTCCTCCCAGGTGGCTGCCTGCTAGGGCTGCTGCTCTGTAACCGCCCAGTCTAAACTGGGCGGAGCAGACTCAGACTCAGCAGAGCCGTGTCTCAGCACATGGGGTGCCCATCTTGCCCCCAGCAGCATGGCCCAGCCTGCCAGGGGGGCCCAGAGTGAGCCTTGGTGTTCCTCAGAGGAGAAAGGCCTCCCCTGGGAGGCGAACGCCAGCCTCAGAGAGGGCAGGAAGGAGGGAAACATCTCTGGAGCACTGGCAGCGTGTACACTCGCTAGCTAGTTTAACCACTTCGGTACCAGCGTCGACTATAGTCGACAGCCACAGATGAACACGCACTTCAACTTTAGCCGACAGCTGTGATATGCCTTCTAATTTTTCATTTATCAAAATAAAATTGTGAACATTTAAAAATAACGTAATAGAACACTTATGTATATATTACCAATTCTGATTTACATTACAAGCAAAGCTGCCTGTAAAGTAAAACAAGCTTTCAGTGCTTTAAAGCTTTGCTCATCACACAAGAGCAAAACGGATTCATGGTCAATGCACAGCACAAACTATTGTGCGGACTGTGAGTGCTGGCTGTGGGCAAGGTTTCACGGCTGATGAGCACCATACCTAGTGGTTAAGCTGCAGCACGATGACTGGTAGTGTTATCAGCTCATTTTAGAGACAGTGACACTGAACCCCACGGAGGTTGTATGATCTGCCACTTTCACACAGCTGTTAAGAGGCAGGCTTGGGACTCAGAGCCATGTGTCTGTTCCCTGTCCCAGGTGGCCCTGACTCTCCTAGGCCACTTGGAACATTTGCAGAACACGATGACCTTGCTTTCGTAGGAGATTCTGAACCCAGCAAGGGCGCCCTTAGCCAAGTGTTCAGCACACAAGTGCTGGACCAAATTGGTGCCTTTGCTTCCAGCTGGGACAGATGTGGGCCAGGTCATAGGTCCTTGTTGCCAGACACTCCTGGCTGCACCTGTGAGCAGCCGTTGACCCCTCACGGCCCAGGGGTTGTGGCTCATGGTGCCTGGAAAGCCCCTGGGCTCGGGCTGGGTGTGCAGCACAGCAGCGGGACGCTGGAAGTCAGAGCTGAGGGATGGTGGCTGGGGAAGCCAGGGCGGGCTCCCGAAGAGAGGAATGTTCCAGCCGGGCATCGAAGGAAGAGCAGAATGGCTGGAAACCCTCTTCACCATCCTGGGATCCCCCTGAGGCCAGGCCTGTCGGGTTCACCCCATGGCCTCAATGTCCAGCATGGCACCTGGCCTGGGCTGGCCATCAGTGAGTCAGCTCATCACAACGGGAGAGCGAGCCGGGTTTCCCACGGGAACCTGCTGAGCGAGGGGGCGGCCCTGGGGCAGCGGCGTGCTGGAGCCTCTGCAGGCCGATGGCCCGCTGTGCAGGTTTTCAAACCCATTGTGGGACAAACTCCCCTATGCACACTGTCAGTGTGTCTGTGTGGCCTCTGTGCCACACAGCTGGTGGCCTGGCACGCCCGGCCCAGCCCAGTGTGGCAAAACATGGTGTGTGGTCCACCCGTCTGCCCTGGCCAAACATCTTATTTTTCAAGCCGTCTTCAAAGCAAGATGCTGGACTGTCAGTGTGTCAGGCCCCCTAGAGTGCCCCGGCCCACACACTTGGTTTACAGCCAGCAGCCGAGGCCCGAGGAGGGCACAGGACGTCTCTGGGATGCGCCAGCAGCTGAGGGAGCTGGGATTGGCACCATATTCCCCACGGACGCCATGCCAGGCCTCGGTCCTCCCCGTGGAGAGAGAGAAGTCCCTGCCACTCTCGCCGGAAGGGGGCCGCGTGCTGAAGTTCTGCAGGGCTTGCGCAGAAGTGGAAGTGATTATGATAAGAAGAGGCTGAAGAAAGGACCTTGGTGAATTCTCAAGCACGTAATGAGCATCGGCTCATCATCCGTCTCTTCATTCTGCCCCTCAAGGGCCCGAAGTCTCATCTGCAGCTCGCGCTGCTGGCGTGGCCGCCCGGAAGCGGGAGCGCGGCGCTATAATTGGGAGCGCGGCCTCGGGAGCCCCGCAGACCAGACGGGGGAGTCCCAGAGTGGCCGCTTAGCCTGTACACCACTTAGCATCCCGCGTCTCAGTTTCCTCGCCTGTGAACAGGCTAACGGTGCCGCACTGTAAGGGGCAAATGAGTTAGCAAAGGAGTGCGTACCTGTAAGGTGCCGAGAACACCTTGCTCCGGGGCTGTCACCATGGTGGTTGTTATTGCTGTTGGGGGCTGCCTGGGGTGGGGGGAGGATGGGGGGTGGGAGACCAGTCTCTCCCAAGGGGTAAGGCCCACGCAAGGTGGCAGAGCTGGGAGGAGCCAAGTCCGTCCTACCAGCTTCCACCACGGTGCCCCTGGGCGCACACTCTGGCCCCTGCAACCCCCAAATTGTGCCCTCAGGAAACTACAAACTTCCTTGTCTAGGCAGGAAAACATTCCACTCGAGCTGTTTGAAGCAGGAAAGTATTTAATAAAGAGGGTCAGCTCCCAAAAGCCCTGGAAGGGCTAGGGTGCGCAGACTCCCCGCAGGGGCTGGGGCTGGGGCGTGTGCGCGCTGGTGGAGCTGTTGGAAGCCGGCTGGCCAAGGCCATGGGGGGTGGTTTGCAGTGCTGCTTCACAGGGGTGGTCAGGGACGTGTGGGAGACCTAGAAGAAGGAAGAAGGGGGCCAACCACAGGGCTCCCAGAAGGAGCATCAAGAGGGAAGAGCCAGTGCAAAGCCCTGAGGCCGGGGGCAGCTGCCAGGAGCAGGAGGTGGATCAGGACCTGTGGCTGGAGAAGAGGGAGGAGGGAGAAAAGCAGGGGTGTGGCGGGCGCGAGGCCGTGGTGAGGCTTCAGACCCTCTCGTTGTGTCATGAGGACACAAAGGCCGCATGGCCAGGGTAGATGCAGAGACCTCCAGGAGGCCGTGGCAGGAATCCCTGGTCGGGCCCAGGACAAAGCAGCCTCTGGGCTTGAAAAGAGCAGGTGGAAGCCTGAAAAGGCAGCGGCCTTTCCTCCCCTGCTGCTGTCCG